ACACACACACACACACACACACACACACACACACACACACACACACACACACACACACACATATACATACACACACAACACACACACACACACAACACACACACACACACACAGTATGCTGCACTTGTTCTGTTATAATATACATTAATGTATGTACATAATATAATATACATAATATACATTAATGTTATACTCAATCGTATTTTACATCATGATAATTGTTCTACTTATAATTTGCCTCATCCCTTTCATTTTTTATAATACATCTATTTTACAATATGTTTGAAGATTTGCTGCTTCTTTTATAACTTTCCATTAAAAATAATTCCTTGTTGGTCAAAAATTGGTGGTGCTGATCTCGAATTGCGTTGAAATGGGATTTTGACAGTCGTTTGACGAGTCTTGCAAACGGACGAAAGTCCCACCGACCTTATCCAACATGTTTATGGCCGATGAAGACTTCATCCGGACGCATAGCTCGCTTCTGATGATCGTTATCGAATCTGACACGACCCGACGATATCGAGTCAATCAATTTCTTCTAGAAATTTTTCGCTGTTTTTCATAAGTTATGTTTTAACCCTAGAAATCGTAGTTTTGTCTTCGAATATATAATCTTAAGTCGACATTGAGTTTTTAATTTAATACAATTCAGTACTTGGAAAAGAATTATTAAAGTTTAAGATAAGATTAATCTACAATAACAAGAAAATTAACAATATATGACTAGTATAATTAAAGGAGAAGAGTCTTAGTCGGTCAAATACCTTTGGTTCAATAAGATTAGACAACACAAAGTACAATATTGAGACATTAGACATCTTTAAGATGTCTTTTAGACGCCAAAAACGTCTAATGTCTCAAATTTAGTTACTTTGTGTTGTCTGGAAGACTCTTCTCGCTTAATTAAAATTAAAATCGATGTTAAGATTTATATTAATTAAATCAGTTTAAAAAAATAATTAAAACAACAGGTCTACGAGCCAACATTCGTTAAATTATAAAGGTCTTAGTAAATATAAGATGTCATTAGTTAAAAATAAATATAAAGTTTAATAAAATTTAAAACAGACGTTTCGACCTTTATTAGGTCATTATCAATGTTAAAAAATCGCAAGATATCGTTAACGATGTACAAAATATGATATTTAAAAAATTCACAAAAACGAATACATGTGTAAAAATATTATAAAATACGACAAATATGTATATAAATTTTGTGATATGGGTATTTAATCTCACTCGCTATTGAAGACTTAATCATCTCGGCGCAAATTGGCAAGAGTCCGACAAAACTGTAAATCAGTTTAATTTTCATATTAAAGTAAATTCAGATATATTTAAAGATATATTCAAAAGAAATTAACATTTATAAAATCAGAAAATTTTTTCCAAATTTAAATTTACTTATTAAACATTACAATTTTTTATCTATTTTTCTTTCTTTTTTGTTTCTATTCTTTTCTTGCATCTCAGTATTTGTGATAAAAATTTTGCGAGACTTAGAGCTACAACATTTCAAAAGAAATGTAAAACATAATAAAAAGAGAGAGAGAGGGGGAGGGCTGTCACAAAAGTTATAGCACTAATCGACTTCTTTTTCAAGAAGTTACGTTCTTGGAGGTCTTTCAATTAGAAATGTGCAGACTATCATGGTTCACGATCCTATAGAATGCACGATGACCGCTCCGCACCACGCAGGTGTAACCTGTCAGGTGATGTCATTACACATACTCGAGCATTTGCGATCAAGCAACTTTACGATCCAACATGATTGAGCGAGTAGTATCGTGAATCTTTCATTTTTTCTTAGAAAAAGGAAAAATAAAAAGATTAGTATAATGGTTGAACTTTTATGCCCCCCCCCCTCCGCTTAGCATATTTTTTACAATTAATATCATGCAAGTGTAAATATCTTCATTGGAGAAGGATGAAGAATATATAAACTGTAAATATAATAATTGTTAATACAATAATAAGAGATAATATATAATAATAAGTTTTTCTTCTATTGTTGTACAAAGGAAACATAATTTATATAAATAATTAGGGTGTAGTAATGGTTAATTAAATAAAATCATCCGTTATAAATGTGGATATAATTAAATGTAAGTATAAGGATATAGATTTCAGAGAACTAAAATTACAAAAGTGCACAAATTCTTCGTTTTCAGTATCGTAGAAAAATCGAGCATGGCAAGTATTTCGATAATTCTTCCTTGATGAGAATTTAAACTTGTTAAATTATTCAGAGTTCTGCGCCAATGTACAATAAAGATGCTTATCTGGAAGCATGCGTCGCAGAGAAGTCTCGAGATTTGCAGAAAAAACGTGGATCTCGTCTCGGTTTCTTCCAGAAATAACGTTCGAAAGCGGAAATTCATACATTAATAAAAAAAAAAGATTAATATTGAAATTAAAAACGAGAAGAAAATTTAAATTTTGCAAATGAATAAATTATTAACAGTATTGCACGCTTGATGCAATTTTAATTAAAATAA